CCTCCAAGAAAAAGTCAAAATGTTTACAATAGACTAAAAAGCCCCACTCTGGCCCTGATACATCCTCTCCAACCTTATCTCTTACTTTCTCATCCTCATGCAATTTACTGAAGAACAAGCAAATTATGCTCCTAATTTCAAGGCCTTTTTCACTGTCGTCTTTTCTTTCTGGAACTTTCTTTCCCCAGATATTCCCATGATTCATTCCCTCACTTCTCAGGTCTCTGCTTAAATGTCACCTCCTCAGGTCTTCCCTGACCACACTGTCTACATTAATACATACTCCTCCATTTCTCCTACCCTGTTATATTTTTCTCCTTAGCATTCATCATTCTCTGACATAACATACCTACTTAATTATCTATTTATTTTCTGCTTGGCTTACCCTGACACACCAGCAAGGAGTTCGTTTTGTAAACTGCTGTATCCTCAGAGCATAGAATAATGCCCGGAACACCGTGGTGCTCAATAAATATTTGATGGACGAATGCATGAAATAAATACACAAATATAAATATGTATTATAGGTGTGCTTGGTGTTGTAAAAGAAAAGTATTGGCTTTTTCTTGTGGCTAATTGTCTTGGCTTAGTTGGAGAATTCGGGGAAGGCTTCACTGAAGACATGAGATTTATAGTGCTTTAATGTGAGATAAGCAAAAAGGGAGGGAAGCGCCCTCTCGGCAGAGGGACAGCCTGTGGCGGGCCTTGACTCAAAGAGTAGTGGCACGTCGCAGGGACAGAAAGATGGCCTGAGCAGGAGCCTGGAGGGTGAGGGGCAAAGAGATGGGTGATAAGGCCACTGAAAAAGTTTTGGGCTTTATCCTGAGGGTAACAGGGAGGAGAGTGACATGAGTAGATATGAGCTATGAAAACAGCAATCTGGCTTATTTGCTTATTTAATAAACCCCTATATAGAGCTTACTTTGAGCCAAGCCCTTTTCTAAGTGATTTATGATTATTAAGTCACTTTATCCTCATATGACACCACGATGTGGGTACCATTATTAACCTCATTTTACAGATGAGGAAATTGAAGCACAGAGAGACTAAGCAACTTCTCCAACATCACACAGCTAGTAAGCAGTGGAGATGGGATTCAAACCAGGTGGTCCGGCTCCACAGTCCACGCTTTTTCCTTTCTCTTTTGACATCAACTTTTACAATTTACATAGAGTAAAATGCACCCATTTTAAATGTGGAGTTCAATGAGATTTGATAAATGTAGGTATCTGTGTAACAATCAGCACAATCAAGATATAGAAACTTTCATCACCCCCAAAAGTTCCTTTGCACCCTTCTGCAATAATCTCCTCCCACTGTACCTTAGTAGCTCCCCAGGCAACTCCCGATTTGTTTTCTGTTACTGTAGATTATTATGCCTATCCTAGAGTTTTACATAAATGGAATCATACAATAGGTACTCTTTTGTGACTAGCTTCTTTTGCTCAGCATAATATTTCTGAGGTTTACCCATGCTGTTGTGTATATCAGTAGTTTATTCCTTTTTCTATGTACATAGTATGTTTTTTTTCCTTTGGGTACTTTAAAAAATTTTTAAAAATTTTTTGAAATAATTATAGAGTCATAGAAAGTTGCAAAAATATATACAAGGAAGTTGTGTGTACTCTTTACCCAGTTTCCCCCCATGGATACATCTTGCATAATGACAGTACGATATCTAATTCAGGAAATTAACATGGTATGATCCACAGAGCTTATTCAGATTTCACTGGTTTTACATGCACTTCTTCAAGTGTGTATTTGTATATAGTTTTCTTGAATTTTGTCATGTGCAGATTCATGTAACAGCTCCCCTAATCAAGATCCAGAACCGTTCCATGAGCACATCTCCTTCTGCTGCCCTTAATATCTGCCTTTCTTTATGGCAGACACTAACTTGTTCTCCATTTCTACAATTTTATTTCAAGAATGTTCTATAAATGGAATCACCCTTATATAACCTTTTGTGATTGTCCTTTTTAACTGGTATAACTCCCTTTAAGTCCATCTAAACTGAGGTGTTCTTCAATAGTTTGTTCCTTTTTACGTCAGGGTAGTATTCTATGGCATGGGTGTACCACTGTTAGTTTATTCATCCACCTGTCGAAGGACATTTGGATTGGTTCCAGTTTTGGGCTATTATGAATAAAGCTTGAATGTGTTCGATGGTCTTTATGTAAACATAAGTTTTCATTTCTCTGGGATAAATGCCCAACAGTTCAGTTGCTAGGCTGTATGTTAAGTGCTCATTTAGTTTTGCAAAAAATTACTAAACTATTTTCAGAATAGCTGTTCCATTTTATATTTTCTTTCTTTCTTTTTTTTTTTTCCTTTTTGTCTCTTTTTTACTGACCGGTAACGGGATCGCAACCCTCGGTGTCGTGCCTGTACCGGGGACGGCAATGGGATCGCAACCCTCGGTGTTGCGCCCGCACCATGCTCAGCCAGTGAGCGGGAACCGGTCTCCACATGGGATCCGAACCCTCGGTGGCCCCCATTTTATATTTTCACCAGCAATGTATGAGCGATCCCGTTTCTCCACATCCTTTCCAGCATATGACAGTATCATCATTTTTTATTTTAGCCATCTGATAGGTCTGTAGTGATATTGTACTTTTAGTGGTCATTTCCCTAATGGCCAGTGATGTTGAATATCTTTTCACGTGTTTATCTGCATCTGTGTGTTCTCTTTGGTGATATATCTGCTCTTGTCTTTGGCTCATTTTCTAATTGGATTTTCTATCTATTTATTTACTGTTCAGTTTTGAGAGTTCTTTATATATTCTATATATAACTCCTTTGTTGTATTTTTTGGTCATTGGTGTCCAGCAATTTGATTATTATGTGCCTTTGTGTGTTTATCTTCATGTTTCTTCTGCTTAGGGTTTGTTGAGGTTTTTGGATCTGTGGGTTTACAGTTTTATCAAACTTTTGAAAATTTTGGCCATTATTTCTTCAGATATTTTTCTTACACCCCTCCTTTCCTGGGATTCTAATTACACATCTTTCAGATAATTTTACATTGTCCCAGAGCTTTCATAATTTTTTTTCCATCTTGGTTTCCCCCATGTTTTACTTTGGATAGTTTCTATTGCCATGACTTCAAGTTCACTAATCTTTTCTTCTGCAGTGTCTAATCTGCTGTTAATGCCATCCAGTGTATTTTCCATTTCAGATATTGTATTTTTATCTCTAGAATTCCATTTGGGTGTTTTTTTGTACCCTCCATATCTCTCCTTAACATACTCATGATTTTTTCTACCTTTTTGAACTTAACAGAGTATATTTATAATAACTATCCTTGTCTATTAATTTAATTTTCTGTATTATTTATGGATCTGGTCTTATTGATTGTTTTTTCCCCTGGTAATCACCCATATTTTCTTACTTCTTTGTATGTCTGGTATTTTAGATTGGATGCTAAATATTTTGGATTTTGCATTGCTGGTTGCTGGATTTTATAATATTGCTCTTATATTGTTGGGTTTTGTTCTGGGATGCAATTCATGTACTTGGAATCAGTTTGAGGCTCCAAGGCTTGCTTTTAAGATTTGTTAAGGCAGGTCTTGAGTAGACTTTAGTTTAGGGCTAATTTGGCCTATTACGGAGGCAATTTGTCACTGAGGACTGTCCTTGATGCCCATTGTATTAGGACATTCTTCCATTCTATCAGGTGGGAACATTCTTAGTCCCGTGTGAGTTCCAAGGATTGTTCTGCCTACTAGGGGAGCTTTCTCTAGCCTCAGGTCATTTCTTATATGTGTAGGCAGATCAATATTCAGCCAAAATTTCCAGGGACCCTTCTTCAGATATTCAGAACATTATCTCTACAACTCCCTTTTCTCCAGGCATTCTTCCCTGTGGATTCCAGGTGCCTTGATTTCCCTGATCTTCCACTCTGCCTCTGAGGTATCTTCTACTCAGTGATACTTCTAGGCTCTGTCTGGATTCCTCCTCCTTGTGCTGTGGTCTGGGGACTATGGGAAGTCAGTACGAGCAATTGTAGAGCTCAGCATGCTTGTTTCCCTTCTCTCAGGGATCTCAACCTTGTGCTACGTGTTGTCCAATGTCTGAAAACGTTTGTGTCATATATTTTGGTGGGTTTTCTAACTGTTTAAGGCAGGAGCGTTTACCCACTGCCAATTATTCCATCATAGCTGGAAGCAAAATTATAACTAACTCCTTTTTATTGCTATTGAATGGATATAATATACCATATTTAACCTTTCACCTGTTGTTGGATATTTGAGTTGTTTTAAATAAGTGACTACTATGAATAAAGATGTGCAAATCTTTGTGTGGACATGTTTTTATTTCTCTTGGGTAAATATCTAGGAGTGGAATCCCCTGATCACAGAGTTTTGTATATTGCACTTTATAAGGCAATGCCAGTTTTCCAAAGACGCTGTATCAGCAATGAGCAGTGAGAGTTCCTGTTGCTCCACATCATCACCAGCATTTGATGTTGTCAGTCTTTTTAATTTCTAGACATTCTACTGAGTTTGTAGTACTCCTGTTGTAGGTTATTTTGCATGTTCTCGTTATCTAATGCTGTGATAACCTTTTGTGTGTTTATTGGCCATTTATATATCTATTTTTTAAGGAATTTAACTTCATATCCTTTCCCCCATTGGCTTGTTTGTCTCCTTCTTACTGAATTGTAAGAGTTCTTTTTATATTCTGGATATAAATCCCTTGTCAGATATAACAGAGTCTATGCTTTTAACCACTCCTCTTTGCTGGATTGAGGGAAGGGGGGTGGTGATAGGAATATGAACAGGCCACTGTAGTCACCAAGGAGAGAGGTGATTGTGTCTCAGATTAGGATAGGGGTTTAGATGGAGCAAAGAAGATGGAATTTTAAAATTATTAAAAAAAAAAAAAAAACTTCAAGGGATTCTGGGTCTACTTGTCTTTCCCTTTTGTCTTCTGAGTGTTCTTAAATATGTATTTTAAAAAACAAACCTAAATCACCCTATGCTTGAATTAACTATAGGAGGATGTTTCAGGAACCTACGACGAACTCTCTTTTCCTGTTCCTTTTTCTGAGCCATGGAGTGGCAAGTCATAGAGTTCCAAATTCCAGGCAGGGTAAGTCCTGAGAGGAATCACCCTCCACAGTTTTCTCACATCTTAGGGAATGCAGTGGGATGGATCAGTTTAGGTACATGATGCATTAAGGTGTTTTGGATGTATGTGCATGCGTGCATGTGTGCGTGTGTGTGCGTGTAGGATTTTCAAGATTATTCTAAAAGAGTTTTTCAAACCAGGGTTCTTCACACTGGGCACAGTTATAATTGAAATTCACTAGAAAAAATTTGTTTCATGAATGTCTATTTTGGGGCTCTTTTCTTAACCCATATTTTTATTTTTGAAGGTCATGCAATTCAATGTTAGTTATACATTCAATGGCTTTCTTACAGATTTGCATCCGTTGTTGCAAAAAATGGCGGTGAGTATTCCATTTTCTTTTAATCTAAATCCCCTCTACTGGAACTGCCAACTTTTGGATGTTACACTTGGTGTTACCTCTTTGCCTTTTAGGAAGAAATAATAGATGGAAGCTATCTGAATGGTAATGTACACACTCAGTCCCCACTTGCGGTTTCTACGAATTTCAGACAGGATGTGGCTGTGATTTCTGGAATGATTCTTTTTAAGTTGTCTTTTCATTTTATTCCCACTGCAGCCTTGCTGGATCTCATACAGTTTCAGAGGTAACCTGCCCTAGAGGGGAGGGAAAGGGATGGGCTAGGTTTTTATTTTTTTCAAGTTTATTTATTTATTAATATTATTATTATTATTATTATTTTTTTCCTTTTTGTCTTTTTTCATGTCTGGCAACGGATCGCAACCCTCAGTGTCACGCCCGTACCGGACTGGGACCGGCAATGGGATCGCAACCCTCGGTGTTGCTCCCACACCTTGCTCAGCCAGTGAGCGGGATCCGGTCTGTATGTGGGATCCGAACCCTTGGCGGGAGCGCCACTGCGCTCCCAAGCGGCGCACTGTAGCAGTGCGTCACTGGGCCGGCCCATTAATATTATTATTTAAAAAAATTTTTTTCTAAGATGTTGTGGAGCAATTGGGGAGAGGGGAACGAGGAAGGAAATAGGGTGGGAGAAGGTGGAAGGAGCGGGGGCATGGTTGAGGCCCATGGCACACCACTCATTCCTTCAGGATAGGTTTTTAATAAAAATTCTTAATGGAAGTCTCTTAATTGTAAAAGGTAATGTGTGCACATTATAAAAAGCAAACAAACAAACAACCAGCACACAAATATTTTATTTATTTATTTATTTTAATTGAAACCTAATTGATTATACCTATCTGTGTGGTGCAGCATTGACTATCAGTACCTGTTGCACAAGAGTTTTAAAGTCGACACACTGTTCCACTTTTGTTCCTCCTCTGCTCTAGCACAAGAGCCAAAATGTACTGAGTGCTTACAATGTAGCACGCACTATTCTAAGTGCTTGGTGCATAGAAACACATCTAATCCTCACAAGTGCCCCACAAGGTAGGGAGGCCCCATTGGTATCCCATTGACAGGATAATGAAACTGAGGTACTGGGAGGGTGAATGAAGGCCACACAGCTGGAAAGTGGTGGAGAGGGATGTGGACCCAGCAGCCTGGCTTCAGGTCCCATTTCCTTCACTGCTGTGCCACATGCTACACACAAGGCCTGTGTTAGGTACTGGGGACATGGGGTAGGGAGTTAGATAGTGCTGTGGAAGGGCCAGTATTAACAGATAATCCTAATGTGATTAGTATAGTGAAGGAGAAGAAATGGGGGCCTTGGGGTCACTCAGTTGTACTAAAGTGAAAGATCTCCATAAACACTCCTTTCCCTGAGATAATTCCAATTGGTAGTTTTGGATATTTTCTTCCAGGCTAAAAAATATTTATTTATTTATCCATTCATCTATTTCTTTATTTAAAAAATGGGATTATAAACGGCTATTTGTGAGCATTCACTATGTGTTGGGCACAGCTTTACTTACTCTACATGTGTGAATGATTTAATCCTCACAGTTGTTAGCCATATTTCTTAGAAAGGGAAACCAAGGCACAAGAAAATTCAGGAAATTGCCTAAGGCCACACACCTAAGTGTTAGAACCAGGATCCAAATCCAGGTTTGAAGCCCACACCCTCAACTATGCTATTCCAGACTCTCTTATACACAGCATCTGTCTTTTAAACTTAATGTGGTAGGTGTCTTTCTTTTTTCTTTTTTAATAAGGAAAAATGAAATTTATTGCTTATAGTTCCTGAGGCTGGGAATTCCAAAGTTCATCTGGTGGTGGCGAAAAGTGACCCAGGGGTCTCACATTGCAAGGTGGTGGAAGCAGACAGAGCAGAGAGACGCAGAGACGTCTTTCTAAGTCAGTCTGTTTGGGCTGTACTCAATCGGAGTAGATTGTTATGGGAATTGGAATATTGTGCACAGCTCAGAAATTTGTAATTGTCTTTAAGAGGATGGGATCTGAGTAGATTTCTAGAATTGGAAACTTCCTTTGCTCCCACTGCATCAGGTTGACTCATTTACTTCCAAGCACAAAGTTCCTAGCATCCCTGACCCATTCCCATCATCCTCCCTGAACTCCTGTCTCCTGGACACTCAGCTAGTGCAGCACCACTTGGTGGGGAGCCAGTCATTGTGACCTTCTCCTGTCTGTCTTTGACTGAAGCTCCCACGTGTGGACGGCAGACCTGTCCCACAGAGTCCTGGCCTATCTGAATTCACGGAATGTAGCCTTCACCATCGCCAGCCTGCAGGTGTGTACCTGAGACCCGTCTCTGTGTTCCCCTCTCAGTGCTCAGGGATGGCAAACTCGGGCAGGTAAGATGGACAAGTGGGATGGGTGTAGAGATAGTCCACCTCCACAAAGAAAAGTGTTCTGTCCAGTTTTTCTTGAAACATGTCTTTCTTTCACTTTCCACCTTTGATGGAGACATGGTGTGTTTGGGAATAGGCTGAGCTGCTGCAACAAAGAGACCCAAAATGACAGCAGCTCAGACAATTTAGCTTATTTCTTTCTCACATAATAGTCCAGAGCTGAGTGAGAGATCCAGAGAGGAGAGGCAGCTCCATTTCAAGGAGCCACCCAGGGACCTGGGTTTCTTTGATCTTTTTGCTCTGTTGTCCTCTAGGGAGTTGTTGCTCACACAGTTGAAACACCACGTCTGTTCTCCAGCCAGGGCAGGGGTGTGGGAAGAGGAAGTGCAGGTGAGCATCTTGTCTCCTGGGATGTGACTTGCAAGTTACATGAGTCCTTCTGCTCACATGCCATAGTCACTTACTGCAAAGGAGCCATGCACCCAGCTGAAACTTGAGGGATTCTACTAATAGAAGGAACAATAGGAGAGTGGATCTTTGGGTATAAGCATCAGTCTTTCAATCAAGGGCCCCCAAAATATTTTTTTTTCTTTTTAACTCTACTATTAAGAAAAACAAAAGCACAGCATGTTGATAGATGGCAATGGATATTTGCCTTCAGGTGCAGCAGGGCATGGTGGGGACCGTGGTGAACTGGACAGCTCGTCCGTCTTTGGCATGACCATGAGCCCAGTGTGGTGTGTTGTGTCTTTGCCATTACTCTGTGAATAGCTCTGAAAAATGAGGAAATATTCTTTCAGCATTCAAAAACTATTACTGGTGTAGCAAAGAAGTCACTCATGTCATTGACCAATGAATAAAGTTCCAACATATGTCTTTGCTGTTTCAATTTTTACTTATGTTTTAACAAAAATGGAAACATCAACCAACACTCATGTCATAGCTACACTCAGGGAGTTGGATGTTTACCATTTACTAGGACTCCCACTAGCGGGAGGCGCTGTTGGTGCCACGTGGCACCTGCGTTCTTTGTCCTGTTCATCAGTCATGGCAACCTAATGAGAAGTAACACCTGCCCCTTTCTCTCTAGCAGGAAGGCTTCTCATGAGATCTATCTATTTTAACCTGATCAGTAGATATACCACTTCTCTTCCTATGTATATATTCATTTATTCATTCAATATGTACTTATTTAGCATCTACTTTCTGCTAAGCACAATTCTAGACACTGGGACTTAGTGGAGACCTGTTGCTACCCACATGGGATTTTCATTCTGGGAGGAGAGACATTAAGAAAATCATTATTGAACTCATTATATTGAAAATCATTATTGAGACTAATGGCTGGTGCTATTGAGCACTTAACCGTGTGCTAGGAACACTTTACACACTCACTTAATCCTCATAACAACCTTACATGGTCAGTTCTACTGTTCTCTCCACTTTTCAGATAAGAAAACTGAGCCCAGAGACAGTGTTACTGATTTAGCTAATAAAAATACAGGATATCCAGTCAAAATTGAACTTCAGATAAACAAATAATTTTTCAGTGTAAGTAGTGTACGACTCATGTGACATATGGTACATACTTATACTAAAAAACTATTCATTGTTTATCTGAAATTAAAATTTAACTGAACGTCTTGTATTTTACCCAGCAACCCTAGTTAAGAAACTTGCCCAAGACTGCAGAACGAGAAAGTGTAAAGGTGGGGATTTGCATATGGGTTGTCTGGTTCTAGAGTCCACCTCTTGCCCATGTTATCACATTGTGCTGCCTTCCTAGAATTCTTCTGTTTAAGGGAGATTTAGTAAATAATTACCCAGGTAGCAGAGGAAATCTCTTCCAGGGGAGGCTGGTGGCCTCTGCTCCTTGCCCTGTAGGGGACACCACAGAGAGTTCATTCTGCCTGAATTTTGCTCCTGTGCTGATAGCTCGGGTTTGAGCAGTAGCGTCATCTGGGGGTAATTAAACTTTCTGGGTGGAGGCCAGCTGCTCTGGGCTTGATATCCCAATCACCCACAGGGCCCCAGCAGGCCATGGGATGGGGAAATCAGGCCTGTGGTGAGCAGGAGAGTTCTTTCAGCAAGCAGCTGCCCCTTGGCTTGCTGACTATCACAGAAAGGGAATGCATGCCCAGTGTTGCCAAATCTTTGCATTCTCCAAGAGAAGCTGGAAAGCCAGATTTTTTGAGGAATGCCTTGACTTTTAAATGTTGGCAGCTAATGAGAAAATTTTGGAGCTGGCCAAACCAAACCCGTCTGCAGGCTGCCAGCTCATGGTCTCTAAAGCTGGCTGGGCTGCTGGCCGTGGTGCTGACCGTGTGCTCCTGTCCTTCTGTCCTCACCGACTCTCCCAACACCCCGTATCCAGGCAGCCATGGAAAATCACCTGGAGCAGTGTTTGTACCAGCCCCAGAAGCTGCTGGAGGACCTGAGGAAAGCAGATGCTCAACAATTCCACACTGCCATGAAATGCCTCTTAGAAGACAAGCAGGACCGCTTGGTGAGGTGTTCTTGGCATGTCCCAGGAAGAGGGGAAGTCCAGGGCCAGTTGGTATTTGTCGAATTGAATCAAATTGAACCTGACCTGGGACTTGGTTCTTTTTTATTTCTTCCCTCTCTTCTTTCCCTCCCGCAACTCTCTGGGAGATTTAGGACCTAGGTTTTCTCACCTACTTTCTCCAAAGTTCAAATGAAGAGCTTTATAATTCATATTCTTATGAGTACTAAGAAATGAGAGGTACTGAGGATCTTCTCATGGTTTAGTTCAATAAACATCTATGCACCCATGGATGTAGAGATGAAAGACTGTCCCTGCCCTCAAGGAGCTTATAGTCTGGAGGGGGAGGCAGAAACGGAAACAGGTAATTTCCACAAAAACATGGTAAGTGATATAACAGCATCACAAAGCAAGGCCCGTGAGACCCAGAAAGCTCTTGGGACCCTGAGAAGTGAGGTTTAGAGTTTTCTTTGTTGGAGGAAGTTTAGTGTGGAGCAGTGTTTCCTGAAAGCAGTTGAAACATTTAAACATTTTAATAAACATATACTTATTTTAATGTCTGTTGTTAAAATATAATGGACACATCAAACCAGTTTGGTAAAGATTTAACATTTCCTTTTGAAATGAATTTAAGTTTTAAAAAAAGGACTCAGTTTAAGGAAAAATATGAAGTAAATAATAGTAAAAGCAGAGCAAAGATATGGCAAAAATCGGGGTGCTGGTCTATGAAGATGGTATTGCTTAATGTTTTTTAAGAGTTTACTATGTGTGAAGCATTATTGTAAGAAAATAGTCAGCAAAATGTTTCTGTAAGGGGCCAGATAGCAAATATTTTAGGATTTTCAGGCCGTACAATCTCTGTCAGTTAGTCGACTTTGCCGCTGCAGCGTGAAAGCAGCCATAGGTGATAAGTAAATGAATGGGTGTGGATATGTTCCTGTAAAACTTTATTCACAAAAACAGGTGGTGGGCCAGATTTGGCCTGTGGGCCCTCGCTCACCAACCACTGTTTTAAGGGTTTATAACATGCTTGCACTCACTAAATCCTCTCTGGACCTTCTGAAATAAGATTACTGAGAATCTTACCATTTCAATATTCAGGTGAGGAAACTGGAGCTTGGAGAGGTTGAGTGAATAACTTCAGATCACCCAGCTTAGAAGTGGCAACTCTGAGGTTGGAACCCGTGTTCCTGACTCCAGCTATGAGCCCATCTGGCATCTGGTGAAGCCCAAGGCTCCTTCTCAGAATCAATAGGACAAAATACAAAGGAAGTCAATTCTATTTTTTCAATAGTCAATTCTATTTTTTCACATTTATCAAAATGTATAAAACACCTCCGGGGTACAGTAATTTATGTGCCTCTTTAACACATCCAATAACAAGATTTAGCAGCTGGCCTCATAACTTCTGTAATTTTGAGGAAGTGTTGAGTGTAAACAAGATTTCAAGATTTCTGCAACAGCCATAATGCATTATGAAAGTGTTTGTGATTTTGATCAATGACAAAGTCAAAGATACTGCTTCCTCTAGGGTGCCTTGTTGCCTGCGTTCATCCCTCGAGGAAATGCTACATGTCAGTTCTATGTTAGTGAAGACGAGGATGCACTTTTTCCCAATATGCAGACACCCTAAATTTTATTCACAGGCCCCTGCTCACGAACTCCTAAATGTACTCAACCGCTACACTGCTTAGCCACCTAAAACGAATGATTGAAATTAGGAAACACTTTGTCATGATTGAAGTGTGGGTTTGTGCTCAGATACACTTGTTTCAGATCCCACCTCCATGTAAGTTTGAGCTGGTTGCTTATTCTCTATTTTGTTTTGTCACCTGAGATATTGAGATAATAATAGTGTGTAACATTTGTCAAGTGTTCACCAGGTACCGGGCATATTATGTTCATTATCTCATTCAATTCTTACACAGATCTAAGAGATAGGTACTGATTTTATCTCCATTTTACAGAGGAGGAAGGAGACTTAAAAAAGATGAGCAGTTTGCTCAAGGACACAATGATAGTTAAGTAGAAGCCCTGGGATTTAAACCTAGAAATGCTTGACCCTGGGGCCTATGGGGCTTAACTTATAGGACAGTCATGAGAAGTCAATGAGATGACACATTTGTTGCATGCTTGGCACAGTGCCTGGTGTGTAGCCAATGCTCAGTAAAGCAGTGGCTATCTTTGGGGGGTTGTGTGGGGTGAGGGATGGAGGGGTCAGTTAGATTGTGACTAAATCTTGTTAGCATTCCTGAGTTCTGTGTTCAAAGGATTCATCTGTTCATTCATTCGAGCAGGTTATTTTTCAGTTTCTTCTAGGTACTGGGTATTCCACAATGCATGTATGCTTGAGCCTCAAGGACTTTCCCAGCCCAACCCTGGATACACATTAGAATCAGATGCCTGGGCTCCATCACAGACCAATTAAATCTGACTCTAGATAGTAGTGCTGGAGATCAGTACTTTTAAAAAGCTCCTTGAGTGATGCTGATGTTCAGCCAGAGTTGGGAACCATGGGTTTGGAGGAAAGACAGGCACATGAGCATCTTTTATGCATCATCGAGTTTGGTTCAAGATCCTCTGGGAGCACATAGTGGAGAGGGATCTGACTTGAAGTAGGACGGGATCAGAGGAGACTGCACCCCAAGGAGGTGATGATTAAGCTTGGCCTTAAAGGATGAGCCGGATTTTGCTAGAAGGAAGGGGGTGGGAATTGCAGCTAGAACAAGGGCCTGAGGTGTGACAGTCTTAGTGTGTCTGGAGAGTGGGAGTCACCTTGTGTGGGTGGAGCAGGTGAAGACCTTGACTTTGTTCTGTAGGTGATGGAAAGTTCTAGAAGGCTTGACATAGCAGCATGGTATTAAACAGTGGTCCTGAATTTCTCCACTGCTGCAACATGTTGCCCCTCTCAGGGCTTCCAAATTGAGAGGCAGCTCTCAAGGTGATCTAGCTTCTCTCATTCCTGTAGGACCTGAAGGACATTGTCATTGACTTGGGAGAGATTCGGGAACAAGCCTTGCAGAGCCCTGGTGTGAACCGCAGCCTGTTTGTCATCACGCTGGAGAGGTGTTTCCAGGTGTTGAACTCCCTGGAGTGCGTGGAGATTCTGGGCAGGGTGCTGAGAGGGTCTGCAGGCAGCTTTCTCCAGCCGGACATCACAGAGAGGCTCCCCCGGGACCTACGTGAGGATGCCTTTAAGAACCTGTGAGTGCTTCTGCCCACCCTCCTGGCCCCACGCACCACCCCTCAGGGGCTGTTGTGAGACTTCAAGGAGGTGACACCTGGCTGGGGGGAGAAGACAGGAGGGGACAGGTTGATAGAGAAGTTCTGGAGCAGAAACTTAAAATCTGTAGAGCTGAGAGACGGGTTTGAACAAAACAGTGTCTCCCTAACTTCAGTTGTTCTGGTCCCGTCCTCACAATTTTTGCTAAATCTATATATTACCTGTTCTATTATTTACTTCATGTTTCTCCTTAGAGTGACTCATTCTTTTTACTTAAACATATTTATTTTAAAAGTAAATTTGATATCATTACTGTAAGTGGGAAATCACTATCCTTTGTCTTAAGTAAATACAATGAAATACAATGAAAAAAAAAAGTCACTAAGTCCTAGCTAGATTTGTCACTTGCCTAAGTGTCTTAGTCAGTCTGGGTTGCTATAACAAAAATACCATAGACTGGGTGGATTAAACAGCAAACACTTATTTATCACAGTTCTGGAGGCTGGGAAGTCCAAGATCAAGGCGCGAGTAGATTCGGTGGCTGGAGAGGACCTGCTGTCTGGTTCATAGAAGGTGTCTTCTCACTGTGTCCTTGGGGGTGAGGAAGCTCTCCGGGATCCCTTTTATAAGGGCACTAATCCTATTCATGAGGGCTCCACTCTCATGACTTAATCACCCCCCAAAGGTCCCACCTCGTAATACTTTCACCTTGCGTATTAGAATTTCAACACATGAATTTTGGGGGGACACAAACATTCAGCCTGTAGCATCAATACTCTGAGCCTGGGGCTTGTTCTCTTGGTTAAAAAGGTAGCTGAGTGTATGTTAAAGACGCACTAGCACAAAACTGAGACCTTCACTTTGAGGGACAGTAGAAGGACTGAGGGCACTGGAAAAGAAGGGCTTTTCTCCCTTTGAGATGCTGTGCTCTTAATGTTTGTTAGCACCTAGCGCTATATGAAATCACACTTTGGGAACACCAAATTAGAGGATCGTGTCTAGGACTTGAAGAGCCCCAGGCATTGTTACCACCACCAGCTCCCTTCTTTTACTACCTATAGCACTTAATGGCCCTAAAAGCCTCTTTCTAAATCTAAAAATGTGTTAGAAGAAAGAAATTACCAATACGATGGCAACAAATTGGGAGATTTTAAACAATTTTTTTTTGCAGCCAAAGGACTGTGGGAGAAACAGACAATATACTGACCTCATTTTGTCTCCAGGGTGTGGTTTCTTTGGCTGAGACATATATCCCATGGAACCCCTTCGCCCCGCATGCTGTTACACAATCCCTCTTAAATCCACCTTGTCCTTCCTCCTCCATTTGCTCGGGTGGGCAGCCAAAGGACTGTGGGAGAAACAGACAATATACTGACCTCATTTTGTCTCCAGGATGTGGTTTCTTTGGCTGAGACATATATCCCATGGAACCCCTTCGCCCCTCATGCTGTTACACAATCCCTCTTAAATCCACCTTGTCCTTCCTCCTCCATTTGCTCGGGTGGTGTGAGGGTAGGAATGGAGGTGGTGAGAACATTTCTGGGACAGGAAGTTTATCAGTCACTGCTCATCTGCTTGCAAGTGACAGAAAATGCATTTAAACTGGCTTGCACCAAAAGGGACTTATTGGAACATGTAATGGGATAGTCTTGGGTGTAGGCCTGTGGTCAGGCACAGCTGAATCCAGAGGTTCAAATTATGCCATCAGGCGATTATCAGTCACTGCTCATCTACTTGCAAGTGACAGAAAATGCATTTAAACTGGCTTGCACCAAAAGGGACTTATTGGAACATGTAATGGGATAGTTTTGGGTGTAGGCCTGTGGTCAGGCACAGCTGAATCCAGAGGTTCAAATTATGCCATCAGGCGGATCTGTGTCTCTTTACCTCTCTGCTCTGCCCTCCTCTGCGCTGGCCTTGCTCTCAGACAGGCTCTCTCCACCAGGCAGCACCAGCAGATCCAGCCTATCTCTTTAGAGCGCTCGTTAGAGCAACCCATTCAGAGGAGACAGAGTCTCTCTTTCTAACTGTTCCAAGCCAAGTCCTAGAGCTGATTCCCATTGGCCCAGACTGGGTCATTTACCCATCCTTGAGCCAGTCGCTGTGGCCAGTGGAATCTAATTGGTGAAATGACTTAGATGTGGGTCAAAGCCTAACCTAAACAACATGCACCAAGTGTGGGAGAAATTTGGTTTCCCCAAGAAAAATGGAGATGCTGTTATGAGTAAAGGGGGCACAGATCATGGACAGTCAAAACCCACAGATGTCCACTACAGAAACCAACTTTACATAGATTCTGAGTAAGAGCTGGCAGGACGGTTACAAGCCTTGCAGAGAGAAAGTTGCCAGAACAATACAGATATAACACTGTCCAACTCCAGATTCCCAGTTCTTGAGTGGAAAGTCTGGGTTATGCTCCTACTTCCACTGAAGATATCCTGTTGGGCAACATCTAGTCCAACCCCTTCTTTCATAGATGAAGAAACTGAGGTCTAGAGAGAGCGGTGGCATCCCTGAGGTGACCCCATGGGATGTGACTTCATCTGAACTCAACCCAGGTCTCCTGAACCCCAATTCTGTCCTCTTCCCACTATACCCTGCCCTCCCTCTTCTCCT